TTTTTTTTTTTTTTTTTAATGACTCCACCGAACAAAATTTTCCACGCTTCAATCGAGTTTTCTTACTTAAGTTTCTTGTTTGTATCATATTTTCTGATTTTTGTGAGTGAAGGACCATGAATGGAGGCAAGCTGTAACTGCAGCTGGATCGGGATGTATTGCAGCTCTGTCAGTCGAGAGATATCTTACAAGCAAAGACCTTCTGATTGAATTTCACCAGGCATGTTATTAATTCTTGTGTTCGTGTTCAACATTGTATGTTTTGGTTTTGCCTATTCTTTTGGTATTAAATCTTGGAAAACCGAGACTCGACAAGAGTTCTATACATAATCCATCAGAAAAATCATCCATCCACCTTATCATATTCCTTTATTTTTTTTTTTTTTTCCTTGATAAACAAATAAGTTTGCTTCCACCTTTTCTTATTCTCCCACCTTTTTATGTCGAACGAACTGTAGCCGGCTACTGAAGAGGTTAAGAAAGAACTTACTGACCGAGACGTACAAGAAGGTTTTGATATCACGCTTACCAAACACAGGGGCCAGGTATGATATCCCGCTTCAAGAAGTTCGAAAATACATATATAGTATTACAAATCCAGCTTTGGGTTTGAAACTAATCAGAAAGCGCCTACTTTATCACGATAGGTTCGGTTTATTCTATAACTCGTCAAGTGTGGTTTTCTAATTCCGAAAGATGATTGGATTTCTTTCACGAATTAGGCTAAACTATCATTTACTCGTTCGTTTCGAGTTTCTAATTCTTTTCTGTATGCAGTACGCTCTTCGGAAGTTGTATCACGAGAGCCCAAGACTTCTTTGTGTGCTATATACGGCACCAACATGCGGTCCTTGTAGGACCTTAAAACCGATACTTTTCAAGGTTATATATATATTGAGACAAAGATGCTATCTCAATGTTTTGAGTTGGAGATTCTATGTTGTGCTGTTTTCAAGAAATGTTGTTTTTGATCGAACAAAACTCGTTTTTGTAGGTCATAGATGAATTTGATCAAAATGTACATTTTGTGGAGATCGATATTGAGGAGGATCCTGAGATTGCCGAGGCTGCTGGAATCATGGGCACACCTTGTGTCCAGTTTTTCAAGAACAAAGAGATGATTGGGTTTGTCGAATTTCATTCATTTTATTATTTATTTATTTTTTTTAAATATCAAAGAAAAGAAGAGGAGTTCATTGAATTGGCTTAATTACAACTCAATAACCACAATTTCCCCTGGAAATGCTTTACTGATTTAACGTGAACTTGCAGGACTGTGTCGGGCGTCAAAATGAAGAAGGAATACCGAGAGTTTATCGAAGCAAATAAATGATTTTTTAGAGGCAGCACTTAATCTCAACCTCACCTTCTCTGTGCTTCTCCTGAGATTCAGTTTTGATACAATATGGCCAATTTGTGTGTAAGATGTATTTTTGATAGCCCATTACAGACTGTACATTCAGAATAGTAGTAAACAGTCTGTTTTTGCTTGGAGGGCTTTTAGCCAGTGAGCTCCCAATGTATAATAATTAACATACAATTTTAGAAAATCACTGCTAAAAGTTTAGTCTAATAATGGAAGTATTTAAACAGTTCAAAAAAAGCTTATATAAACATGTTTCTTTAACAAGCAACCTTTCCTCGATCCAATTCGTAACAAATGAACGAATGTTTAAAGCACGAGGAGATCATCAAGGATTACATAGCTCAATAATGAACCTCACCCTATTCAAATCGCTTGAGGGACATCATCAAGGATGAAAGGACCAAGTTTGCCTGTTCTGAACAATGTGAGGAATTTTTTAGAGACAATCGTACGAGCCTCAGAGGCTTTATGAGGTATTTTCAGTGCCTTCTGCAAAGCTTCAAACTGCTGTTCTATAAGATTCCCCAAGTCACCTTCATCCTCTAAGCTCCCATCGAACTCTGTTAGGGCCTCGCAAAGCGCTCCTTGAACGTGACTAACTAAGTCCTGCAAAACTTACAAACTCTTATAAAAAAAAAATAAAAAAAAAATAAATAGAAAATACAGTTCTCTGGGTTTAGCCTAGCATTAAAAAGATTTTGCTCCACAAATTCCAACTGTTTTGACAGTTAACTTGTAACAGAATTACAGAAGTACAAAGTTTGAGTATTTTTCATGTAGTTAGGTACCTCAACGTAGTAAACATCAGATTTGTCACTAGGAGTCTTTTTCCTCTTCGGCAAAAGACCTTTAAGGTCATAATCGGGTTTCTCGTCAAGATTGTGATTGTGTGCTTCATTTTCTCGACTCGTGGAGTGCCTCCAGTGTAGAGGAGTGCCTCTCGTATTCAAGACAGCTAGTAAATACTGAGTTATCCGCTCTTCACCAACTACAGAATCCTTAACAGAACCTGCACACATACAAAACCAGAAATTAGGGGGGAATTAGTATTTACCTAAAATAAGGGGAATAAAAAATAAAAAAAGAACCTGCTGAAGCTAGCTTTAACCCAGTCTCTATATCTGGAATACTTGGAACCAACACTCCCGGTGTATCCAAAACGTATATGCTCGGCTGATGAGCAATCTAAATATAACATTATTTTCAAAGATTCTAAGAGTTAGTTACACAACAATGACCCAGCACCGAATCATCTAACACCGATTCTTGCAATAGAACTTAAATCTTTTGAATATTTTCAAATTTCGAACACCATTTTCATCTCTATTCATATTTGACAGGCAGATTTTACCTTAAATCCAGCAATATCTTGTGTAACTCCAGGTAAGGGTCCCACCGTGGCTCTTTTCTTCTTCTCCTGCACTAAGACGGAACTAAGACTAATCAATTATCATGCTTCGTAAAAGCTAGACTGAATAATGACAAGGCCAATATGAAATGCTGGTTAGAATCTCACCAGAAAACCGAGATAATGCTATTTGATGAATGGAATTAATTAAAGCCGATTTGCCAACATTAGGCACACCGACCACCAGGACAAGAAGAGTGGGCTCTCTAGATATAACTTCCTTCAATTTGTACTCCACAAGATCAAGAAGCTTTATTTTTGGGCCACAGTATTTTAAGTCAGAACAAGAACAGAATCTTGAAAAATTTAAAAGTTTATATCAGAATATTAAAAGCAGAACAGACCTTTCTAACAGAACTTTTGCTGTGCGCATTAATTGGAAGACAATCTTGCTTGCATGAATCAAAATAGCGAGTCCATTTCTGCAGGAAAATGAAATGAGCAAGCATATTATTCTTCTCTCATGAGCTCAGACGGCAGACTGCCATTCTGAAAATTTACATTCTTTTACATCTCACACAAAATTCACTTTCAAACTCAACCTTTTTCTTCCCTTTCACTTCTTGCATCTCAATATAGTTGGTCTAGGAAGTGATTCTCAATTCTAACCTCAACACACACACATACACACACATAAACTATGAAGAAACTAAATTAAATAAATAGAATGCGACATTAGTCGAACAAACAAATAATATATGCAATTAGACAAGGAGAATTACATGCATGATGTTGGGGTTGGCCAAATCTTTCTTATTTAGAGCAATCACACGTCTCTTCCCTGCCAGCATGGGTTGCAACTCCTCATTCGCCGATGATAGAGGTATCTGCATAATTTCAAACAGAAGGTAATACACAAATACAAACCCCATTTGCACAAAAAGCTGGAAACTCTGTTCTCCAATATTAATATAATAATACAATGGCTACAAGTTTTACAGCCCAATATTATTTAAGCAACAAGTCACTCGAAATTAACAGTAACCATCTCTTTCGAGGTGATTTGATGGACCGAACAAATAAAGCTTCAACAACCATTTCTGTCTCTCTCTCTAATCAAGAAAATGCCCAGCAAAACTAAACTCACTGCCCACTGGCAACAGCAAATAACCCAAAAAAATAAACAAGAAATCTAATCTTGGTGATAAATTTCAAACCGTACTTACACAATGCGAAATTGCCCAGCTCAATCAAGATTTAACACCCATAAATTACAGATGTAAACTAATTTCAAACACATCCCTCCAATTAAATGAATTGTAACTCATAAAAAAATGAACTTTTCTTCAAGGTTCTTACGCGGGCGTCGCGTACTTCGATGACGAGGTCGGAGAGCTTGAGGCGGTCGCGGATGGCCCGGGTGGCGGCCGCCATGTGACCTGGGAACCAGTTAATGTTTCCGCCTCCCTTGATAAAACCCATTTCGCCGATTAGCGAGCCCTTTCTCACTAAGCCTTTCATGGTAGCCATTTTCTGTAGCTGATAAGCTTAAACCCTTTGTCTTCAATGGAGGAATTTGACTTAAACAGTTAAACCCAATCCCGAATTTCTCTCTGTGGCCTCGACCAGTGACCAGCAGTGTGTGGGCATAGAGATGGATAAATTTGGGCCGTTTGGTTCTCTTTGAATCCTAAAGCAATCTTGGGCTAGCAATTTTTCGATTTTAGCCCAACCCAATAATAGTTTTTTTTTTTTTTTTTTT